ATGGAAGGCACGCCATGCAGGAGCCAAATCTGCAGCCCGGAGGGCACGGACAGAAAACAATCAAAACAAGCAGCTTTGCTACAGAATTGTCACCGGGAGATTTGGAGCATCGATGGCCACGGCCTCCAAAGGATCAAGCTGAGGCTAATAGTCAGCAGAGGATCAATAGAGACATTGTAGTCGTCAAACCATGTGGTTACTGCAATGACTCTGCACATGCTATGGAACATTGCAATAAGCTGAAGATGAAGACGCATGATGACAGGAAGGCTTTCTTAAAATGAAGGGGGCTCTGCTATGATTGCCTTAAGCCTGGGCATCAGGCTAAGTTTTGTCGTAATAGGGCCAAATGTTCAAAGTGTGGTGGATCTCATCCCACTATGCTACATAGGGATACAACTGCGGCACCTTCGGAGTTTAAGAAAGCATGTTCAAGCATCACGAGCGAAGCTGATGGCGATAAACAGAGCAGAGGATGTGATCTACGGTGCCATATGGGAGCCGGCAAAGGGAGCATAGGGCAATGCACAATGGCGATAATCCCTGTCATGGTCAAGACTCCAGATGGTGGCGTAGTAGCAGAAACTTACGCATTTCTTGACCCAGGCAGTAACGTCAGCTTCTGCACTGATAAGCTGGCAGCTCAACTAGGAATCAAGGGAAAACGCACGACAATGAAGCTAGAAACGATGGGAGCGTGTCAGAACTTGGTAACACATAGAATCACAGGACTGGAAATCAGTGGTTTAGATGGGGATACTATTATCAAGCTACCAGCCTTGTTCACTAAGGCAGAAATGCCAGTCACCAAGGACCTCATTCCAACTCAGGCAGATATTAGCGGATTTGAACACCTCAATGACATTGGATTGCCCAAGATCAACGCAGAGATTGGCCTACTAATTGGGAACAATGTGCCGGATGCGTATACGCCATTAGAGCTCAGAACTGGTCCGAGAGGAACACCCCATGCAGCCAAGTCAGTTCTTGGATGGATCTTGTGGAGTGTTGTAAGAAGCAATGAGCTGCAGACTCGTTGTACAGCAAACAGGGCTGAAGCATCTGCAATACAGGACATGGGTCGTCTAGAAAGTTTGGTTCGTAATGCTATGAATATGGACTTCCCAGAGCGTGGAGTAGACAGTAAACGGGAGCCATCAGTGGAGGACAAGCAGTTTAACAAGATAGTGGAGGAATCGATGAAATATCAGGATGGTCACTACTCCATGGATTTGCCTTTCCGACAGGCAGACATCAAGTTGCCAGATAACCGGGCACAAGCCATGGATCGGCTCTCGTCACTACAGAAACGCTTGAGCAAGAATAGGGAGTTCCACAAGGACTATACGGCATTCATGAACAATCTTCTAGAGAATGGATACGCAGAGAAGGTGGACGAGGATCGGGATGGTACAAGAGAAAATGGAGACAAGTGGTATTTTCCGCATCATGGTATCTATAATCCTAATAAACCAAGAAAAACTAGGGTTGTGTTTGATTGCTCAACAAAATGCAGAGGAATATCTCTGAATGACACCCTTGTCTGAGGCCCAAACTTAACAAATGCCATCGTGGACGTGCTGTTGCGATTCCGTCAGCAACCCGTAGGAATCATGAGGGCATGTTTAACCAAGTCAAGGTCAATGAGCATTATCGGGACTTCTTGCGGTTCCTGTGGTATCCTGGAGGGAACCTAGACTAACCGCCGGAGACTTATCGGATGACGACACATCCCTTTGGGGCAGTTTCTTCTCCAGCCTGCGCAGCTTCGGCGCTACGACAGTGTGCCGCTGACAGTGAAGGACAGGTTTCACGAGAGGTCGTAAGCACCATTAGAAGGAGCTTCTACGTAGATGATGTGCTAAAATCTCTTGTCGATGATGATCAAGGGATCGACGTGAGGAGGGGTGTGACTAATGCAGCTAAGGAAAAAGGAGGATTCAGAGCGTGCCAGTGGATTAGCAACAGCAAGCCCGTGAATGACTCCATCCCGTTATCAGAAAGGTCAAAGAAACTAGAGCTAGCTATTGACAGTGAGGAGCTACCGACTGAAAGAGCTTTAGGGATAATTTGGGATACCGAGACAGATACGTTCACGTTCAAAATTAGGCTAAAGGTGAAAGCGGCTAAGGAGGAGAATTCTGTCGGTCATCAGTAGCGTTTTTGACCCCCTAGGACTAGCTGGGCCGTTTGTCTTACCAGCAAGGATACTACTACAACGTCTATGCAAGCAGGACATAGCATGGGATGACACCATCAGCGAGAAAGAAATGAACGAGTGGAGTCAATGGCTAATTGACATCCAGAAATTGGAGCAAGTGTTTGTGCCAAGGAGCCTGCGTCCTAGAGCATTCACAAAAATCGTATCACGAGAACTACACGCATTCGCAGATGCATCGGACGTCGGGAATGGGACAGCCGTTTATACGCGTCTACAGGACGATAAGGGTCGGGTCTGCTGTTCGTTGCTATTTGGAAGGTCAAGAGTCGCTCCACTGAAGAAAGTCACCACACCGAGAATGGAGCTAACGGCTGCCAGCGTAGCAGTGAAGATCGTTGCAATGATTACAGGTGCAATAAAGTACGAGTTTGATAAGATTGTCTACTGGACAGATAGTATGTCCGTGTTACGATACATCAACAATCAGACCAGCAGATTCCACACCTTCGTTGCTAACAGAGTCACCACGATTCAAGAAGGATCAACTCTAAACCAATGGAGATACGTCCCTACTCAGCACAACCCCGCAGATTCTGCATCCCGAGGACTTCGACCAAAGGATCAACGAGCTAGCGAGCAATGGTTGTTGGGGCCCAAGTATTTATGGGAGCCGGAGTCACAGTGGCCGAGATCAGAGTTCTCAAAGGAGCTGTCACCTAGATGTTACAGGCAGTTGGGTAAGCGGGTTCTAGGTTAGGCCGTTTCTAGGGTGATTGTGAAATGAGGGGAACGGTTGGAACTAGACAGAACGGGTGACATGTGCGATCAAGATGTAGGGAGTTTTGGGCGAATATATGGGGAGATTCTGGAGATTTAGAGGGTTCTGGGGCTGGCAGCGAGCTGAGCACACGCGCGTATGCGCGTGTGCGCGTTCTTTGTCTCTTTGTGCGATGTGGCTACAGTGTACAAGCTAATAAAGTTTATTCTGGTTACTACAACAAGTTTGACTTTATATCTTCATCATTTCGACATCAACGCTCATTCCAACGTTACACTAGAGCTAGCTATTGACAATGAGGAGCTACCGACTGAAAGAGCTTTAGGGATAATTTGGGATACCGAGACAGATACGTTCACGTTCAAAATTAGGCTAAAGGTGAAAGCGGCTACAAGAAGGAGAATTCTGTCGGTCATCAGTAGCGTTTTTGACTCCCTAGGACTAGCTGGGCCGTTTGTCTTACCAGCAAGGATACTACTACAATGTCTATGCACGCAGGACATAGCATGGGATAACACCATCAGCGAGAAAGAAATGAACGAGTGGAGTCAATGGCTAATTGACATCCAGAAATTGGAGCAAGTGTTTGTGCCAAGGAGCCTGCGTCCTAGAGCATTCACAAAAATCGTATCACGAGAACTACACGCATTCGCAGATGCATCGGACATCGGGTATTGGATAGCCGTTTATACGCGTCTACAGGACGATAAGGGTCAGGTCTGCTGTTCGTTGCTATTTGGAAGGTCAAGGGTCGCTCCACTGAAGAAAGTCACCACACCGAGAATGGAGCTAACGGCTGCCAGCGTAGCAGTGAAGATCGTTGCAATGATTACAGGTGCAATGAAGTATGAGTTTGATAAGATTGTCTACTGGACAGATAGTATGTCCGTGTTGCGATACATCAACAATCAGACCAGCAGATTCCACACTTTTGTTGCTAGCAGAGTCACCACGATTCAAGAAGGATCAACTCTAAACCAATGGAGATACGTCCCTACTCAGCACAACCCCGCAGATTCTGCATCCCGAGGACTTCGACCAAAGGATCAACGAGCTAGCGAGCAATGGTTGTTGGGGCCCAAGTATTTATGGGAGCCGGAGTCACAGTGGCCGAGATCAGAGTTCTCAAAGGAGCTGTCACCTGAAG